AGGCTATGGGTTAGTAATATAAGGCTATGGGTTATTAGTATAATGCTATGGGTTAGTAGTACAAGGCTATGGGTTAGTAATACAAGGCTATGGGTTAGTAATATAAGGCTATGGGTTAGTAATATAAGGCTATGGGTTAGTAGTATAAGGCTGTGGGTTAGTAATATAAGGCTATGGGTTAGTAATATAAGGCTATGGGTTAGTAGTATAAGGCTATGGGTTAGTAATATCAGGCTATGGGTTAGTAATATAAGGCTATGGGTTAGTAATATAAGGCTATGGGTTAGTAGTATAATGCTATGGATTAGTAGTATAAGGCTATGGGTTAGTAGTATAAGGCTATGGGTTAGTAATATAAGGCTATGGGTCAGTAGTATAAGGCTATGGGTTAGTAATATAAGGCTATGGGTTAGTAATATAAGGCTATGGGTTATTAGTATAATGCTATGGGTTAGTAGTACAAGGCTATGGGTTAGTAATACAAGGCTATGGGTTAGTAATATAAGGCTATGGGTTAGTAATATAAGGCTATGGGTTAGTAGTATAAGGCTGTGGGTTAGTAATATAAGGCTATGGGTTAGTTTAAAAATAAAGGAAAACAAGTTAAAGTTACAGACAAAGTGCACCAGCGAACACAAAGATATTGCGGACACGTATGGAGAATGTCACACACCAGCCCGACCTGCATTTCTTCTTTTCAATTTCAACTTTCTACCTTTTTCTCAATGTCTGCTAAGTTTACAAAATGTTGATAATAAAGTAATTATTTGAGTAATTCCAATTGTTCACTAATATTAAAAGAAGTTAAATAAAATTCAAATAAGCTGCAACCATTGTTATGTCGGTAATTTCTTGATTAAGTGCCGTTTGTTGTTGCGCGTGATGAAGAAGTGTCCATCCTGTGGACGTGGGCTTTGAGCTGAACAGCAACTCTTTTAATCTGGATATTAACTATGTATTCAGTAGAGTTTTGAACTTAATCAGACAAATATTGTAAATGTTTTTTTTATCTGTATTGACGAATTAGATTCCAAATTAAAATGCGAAATAAAACAGAACTCTTCTAAAGAGTTGTTTTGTAAAACATTCTTTCGAATACCAAGCACTGATAAGTCTTAATTATGCAAAAAAGTTGGCTGATATCGTCGTAGTTATTTGCACTCATTTGTTCTCTGAAAATAGAGATCGATTGATTTTAACATCCCTCTCCACAGTAGATTGGTTTTGCATTGAATCAGATGTACATCTAGTTTAACTCCAGGGTTAGGGTTGTGTTTTCATCGGAACAAAATAAATAAATACTCACAAATAATTAGCCTGAATAATTAAGATTTATGTCGCGCTTCAACATAAAATAAACCAATACACTTTATCTGATGTAGATTTGCTAGTCAAAACAAATTGAAACCACATTTATGTAAAAAATATATTTTAAATACACAGTAAGTAGGTTTGTACATTTACCATAATCTAATGTTTTCATATTCATAGCCAGGCGTATGTATTCAGTATTAATGAAGCTTATGTGTTTGATATTCATAATAATAAATAAATGTTAACACAATAAACTCAATTAACTTAAAATACATACAATGTTTTTTATTGATATCCAATTATTACTTATTACTTTCTTCTGCACTACTACCACAGTGTACTCGTGTACACTACACTGAACTGGATCCTCTTTAGATGCAGATCTGAAGGACTGAAGTACTCTCAGGTGAAGGTTCCTCACATGTGCTGCTGCAGGCTTCCTGAACATTTACAGCTACAGCAAAACCACACTATAGATGAAAGGATCAGATGTTGGTCTGTAATATGTGGGAAGTTGGCCAGTGACAGAAAGTGCTGACTCGTTAAGCAGCTGATATTTCTTTGTAACGTGAGATAGTTACACGCAGGATGCTGAAGAGAAGTCTGATGTCACTTCCTCTACTGAACGCGTGTATGTGAGTTCATCTCATGAGCACGAACCACACGAGGCATATCCACATCTTTAAACTCAATTGTTAGAAAAATACAAACATATACGTATGTAAATGAAGTCATTAAATAATGCAGCCAGAGAATAGTCACTCTACAAACGTCTTGGTGGGACAGAGTTAACAGTCGCTGGCTCGGGGATATTTGGACAGTGTATCAGAACTAAAGTACAAGCTGTGGCAGTTGAGGTGGAAGATTCGGCACATGTTTCATGGGCGCAACCACATCCTCAGCTGCTCATCCCACAGACGCATGTTCCTCCCAGACGCGCCACCGCTTACAAGGGAATTAAACGTGCTCTTCCATCAGCAATGGTACAACAAGTAATAAACAGTAAATAAATAAATAACCAACCAAACACATTGCGTGTAGTTCCATGTTTATATACATATACCTTCGGAGAACGTGAAGCAGATGTTTCCTCACCATGATGTAGAGGCTTGTGCCTGTAATCTTATTTAGTAGCATCGTCGTTGTGGATGGGAAGTCTGTTACAAAGCACCATGGGTTTGTTCGTCATCTTTGGACGTATGTGGACTTGCTTCATATCACAAACCAACTGACATCAAATCAGATCGCTGGAGTCCCCGTTCCCGAAGGACCCCGAAAGGGACCAAACTAGTGATGAATAAGACTCTTGTTCCAGACTTTAATATCACGTTTTGCTTCTGCTTCAATCTGCTTTCCCACAGCTGTCATTTGAGGTCATGTTGTACACGTCTTGATTACGTTGTTGTTATCCAGGATCACCAGCATTTTCTCCAGCCTCAGGAAAGAGTCGGGTTCCGTCAGGCCTCAGATCAGTGGATTTATGACTTTTCCTTATGTTTAGGACAATAGTTTTAGTACTGTTTGTACTGCCAGCACCCTGAAACTGAAGCGTTGACATGTTTTTCTCTCCCTCCAGGCGCCTGACTCCGGGCGGCGTTGAGCACATAAAGCTGGATAGAATAATTGCTTCAGTAGTAGTAGCGGTCCATGTAGCTGGTCAGCCTTAGAGCGCCATGGCCACAGGAAGCCAGGGCCACCGCGACCACGTCCTGGAGAGAACGCGGCTCGCAGAGCCCACGGGGAGGCGCAGGAGAGCAGAGGGGAAGCCCAAGAAGAATTTCCCCTGCCTGGAGTGTCAGAAAGCCTTCAACAGTCTGGAGAAGCTGAAGGTGCACTCGTACTCTCACACGGGAGAAAGACCGTACGGCTGCTCCCAGCCGGACTGCACCAAGGCCTTCGTCTCCAAATACAAGCTGCTACGGTACAGACGGCAGGCCGCGGCATGTTGCTTCTCTCTTTGCATCTTTGCTAATCCACATGTTTGAATGATTGTGTTTCTGTGTACTGTAACGCATGCCTACTTGACCCGTGATTGCAAAAAGTGCTCATAGAATGTGTCTGTGTTCCAAGGCATATGGCAACACACTCGCCAGAAAAAAACCACAAGTGTTCATACTGTGAGAAAATGTTCCACCGCAAGGATCACTTAAAGAATCACCTACACACCCACGACCCCTACAAGGAAGCATTCGCCTGTCAGCAGTGTGGCAAGAGCTACAACACCAAGCTGGGCTTCAAACGCCACCTCGCCCTCCACGCCGCCAACAGCGGAGACCTCACCTGCCAAGTGTGCCTGCAGCCCTTCCCCAGCACCGGGGTCCTTCTGGAACACCTCAAAACCCACGCCGGCAAGTCCTCTGCTGGCACCAAAGAGAAGAAGCATCGCTGCGAGCACTGCGAGCGGCGCTTTTACACCCGTAAAGATGTGCGGCGCCACATGGTGGTGCACACCGGGCGCAAGGACTTCCTCTGCCAGTACTGCGCCCAGCGCTTCGGCAGGAAGGACCACCTGACGCGCCACGTGAAGAAGAGCCACACGCGGGAGCTGCTGAGGGTGAAGACCGAGCCGGCTGACTCGCTGGAGCCCGTGGTCTACGACTCGGCGTCCGGGGGCATCAAGGGCGAGGTAATGCTGACGCCGAGGCCTCAGCAGCTCCACTCGTACGCAGGCCCCGGCCTGGACGCGGAGCCCTTCCCCCCCCCCACACACGCCTTTGCTTTCAAGTACCCACTGGGTTCCAACTTTACCTCATACGCCGTCTCCTCACAGGAGCGCGAGCAGTAATCTTAAGGGAGAACTGGAGACGTACCTGATGGAGCTGCAGAGCAGCATGCCGTCCTCGTCCTCTGCAGCCCCCCAAGCCCAGATCGCCTCCTCCAAGCTGGAGCTGGAGCCTCAAGGGGGGGCGCTGCAGGAGGAGAGCGAAGAGGGGACCATGTCTAAAAGGTCCACCCCGACAGCAGGCGACCCTCTGGCATCTTGCTCTTCTCTGATGGACTTCTCACAGCTCTTCAACTTCCTGCCACTCAACGGGCCCCCGTACAACCACGCAGGGGGCGGCGGGGGGCCGGGCGAAGAGCCCGCCACTCTTGTCCAGCTGCCCCACCAGCCTCCAGAAGGTCCAGAGGCTGCAGAGAGTCAAAGGCTCCCCTCCTCCTTCATATCCAACCTGAGCGCCCCCACCACGCTGCCTCGCTTCCACCAAGCCTTCCAGTGACCCAGTACGTACTGCCCCCCACCACACTGCCTCGCCTCCACCAAGCCTTCCAGTGACCCAGTACGTACTGCCCCCCACCACGCTGCCTCGCTTCCACCAAGCCTTCCAGTGACCCAGTACGTACTGCCCCCCACCACGCTGCCTCGCTTCCACCAAGCCTTCCAGTGACCCAGTACGTACTGCCCCCCACCACGCTGCCTCGCTTCCACCAAGCCTTCCAGTGACCCAGTACGTACTGCCCCCCACCACACTGCCTCGCCTCCACCAAGCCTTCCAGTGACCCAGTACGTACTGCCCCCCACCACGCTGCCTCGCTTCCACCAAGCCTTCCAGTGACCCAGTACGTACTGCCCCCCACCACGCTGCCTCGCTTCCACCAAGCCTTCCAGTGACCCAGTACGTACTGCCCCCCACCACGCTGCCTCGCCTCCACCAAGCCTTCCAGTGACCCAGTACGTACTGCCCCCCACCACGCTGCCTCGCCTCCACCAAGCCTTCCAGTGACCCAGTACGTACTGCCCCCCACCACGCTGCCTCGCTTCCACCAAGCCTTCCAGTGACCCAGTACGTACTGCCCCCCACCACGCTGCCTCGCTTCCACCAAGCCTTCCAGTGACCCAGTACGTACTGCCCCCCACCACGCTGCCTCGCCTCCACCAAGCCTTCCAGTGACCCAGTACGTACTGCCCCCCACCACGCTGCCTCGCCTCCACCAAGCCTTCCAGTGACCCAGTACGTACTGCCCCCCACCACGCTGCCTCGCCTCCACCAAGCCTTCCAGTGACCCAGTACGTACTGCCCCCCACCACGCTGCCTCGCTTCCACCAAGCCTTCCAGTGACCCAGTACGTACTGCCCCCCACCACGCTGCCTCGCCTCCACCAAGCCTTCCAGTGACCCAGTACGTACTGCCCCCCACCACGCTGCCTCGCTTCCACCAAGCCTTCCAGTGACCCAGTACGTACTGCCCCCCACCACGCTGCCTCGCTTCCACCAAGCCTTCCAGTGACCCAGTACGTACTGCCCCCCACCACGCTGCCTCGCCTCCACCAAGCCTTCCAGTGACCCAGTACGTACTGCCCCCCACCACGCTGCCTCGCCTCCACCAAGCCTTCCAGTGACCCAGTACGTACTGCGCCCCTACCACACGCATCTTGACACACATCGGCCGCCCACCAAACCTCCTCAGCTGATCCCGGAAGCAGATGTTGGTCACACATGTGTAATGACCACACGAGCAGATTTCATCCCACGCAGCAAACACACGGTGATCACACCACCTTCCTTTCTCCTTCTTAGCTTTTCACCTTTACTCCCAAAAGACACATAATGATCCTCTTATGCAAATACAGTACACAACTTCTCAATCTCTTGCTATTTGCAAGTTGGGGAACCGACCTGATTAGCTGACCTAATCACCAAGTGACTTTTTCACAGAGAAAATTTGTCAAAACATCTGTAGAATTCCCCGTTGAAGTGCAGCGCCGCATCTACACGACCGTCATATTAGTGGAGCAAAAACAGTCAGGCTTCGTCCCTTAGAACATGAATCAGTCATTGGGACATTGGGAGGATTGTAATCAGATTACAGTGACAGGAAGCAGCTTGAGCATTTTCTTCATCTCTTTGTGGCAGGGACCAAACCGCAGTTTGAGGGTGTTTTTGTAGTTGAAATAGTTCAAACATGATGCACTATGAATGAAAGCATCCTGCATAGTGGATGAATTTGATATGAAATGTTTGAAACAATTTCTGTCCATTGATTTGCATCATGTCTGCTCCTCGTGTTGTCACTAAGGTGCCTGTGATGTACGCTGGCCGTGAGCAGCAGACCCAATGAAACAAACACGTTCAATAGAAGATACTTCTTTTAAGAAAGGGAAATTAGTCGATAGAAAAGAACCTGGTTCCGTTGCACAAGCAGAAGAGTATTCACACGATAAAAAAAGAGTTTTTTAATTAATTGACACAAGCGTTGTGCTTCTCTAATTCGCCCCAAAGAACATCTTCACTGCAGCCGCACAGGAGGGGGATAATTCAGACCATAGTTCTCCTAAAGTCCAATCTACCATTATCTAATTAAAGTTTACAACGCAAACCACCAACGCGCACGTTCAAAGGGAATTTAGCATTTTTCAGATTAATGGCAACTATAAGAAAAGGTGCTCTATTTATGGAGTATTCCAGCAAACCTCAGTCTTTGAAGACCAGAACGCCAAATTCACCGTGTGTCAAATTAAACTACAGAGAAAAGGCAACCAGAAATAATACTTATTATTTCCATGGGATTACTTCATAAGTCTCCACTCTATGCACATGTAGGCAATCTGGTAGTAATGAATATTTCCTACTTCAGAGGCCGTATTCTAGTAAACGCATATCAACAAACGTTAAGTGAAAGGATTTCTTCAGCGAGCTGTCTGCCTCAATCAACAGTATTTATACAATGTTTTATCCAGTAAGCAATCTATCGCCAAAGTACAAAATGTTACAGTCAGAAGAAAAAGAAGCATACGTTTCGTTAGTTAGTTTGGTAACTATAGAAGCTACGAGTTAATCAGCTGACATACCGTCTACCTCTGAATGACACTGCTGCCCACGACATCCCGCAGGCCACGCCTCCTTTGGCCCTCTGAAGCACGCGTGGAAAACCTGCTTCTCTATGGAAGTAGCTGCTGCCCCCCCAATCGGCCCGCCCCCCCAATCGGTCCGCCGCCCCCCAATCGGTCCGCCGCCCCCCAATCGGTCCGGCGCCCCCCCAATCGGTCCGCCGCCCCCCAATCGGTCCGCCGCCCCACAATCGGTCCGCCGCCCCAATCGGTCCACCACCCCCCCAATCGGCCCGCCGCCCCCCCAATCGGTCCACCGCCCCCCAATCGGCCCGCTGCCCCCCCAATCGGTCCACTGCCCCCCAATCGGCCCGCTGCCCCCCCAATCGGTCCACTGCCCCCCAATCGGCCCGCTGCCCCCCCAATCGGTCCACCGCCCCCCAATCGGCCCGCTGCCCCCCCAATCGGTCCACTGCCCCCCAATCGGCCCGCTGCCCCCCCAATCGGTCCACTGCCCCCCAATCGGCCCGCTGCCCCCCCAATCGGTCCACCGCCCCACAATCGGCCCGCCGCCCCCCCCAATTGGCCTACCGCCCCCCAATCGGCCCACCCCCCCAATCGGCCCGCCGCCCCCCCAATCGGCCCGCCCCCCCAATCGGTCCACCGCCCCCCAATCGGTCCACCGCCCCCCAATCGGACTCCAGCTCCTCACCGATGGCCGAGCTTCTCCGCCATTGTTTTACCTGTTTTACCAAACCGTCGTGTTTTTGTACTAAATAGCATCCGTGGGCGCAGACAGCTTCTACATGAACTGCGTCTGGATGGCTGCCGCTTCCAGCGCACATGAGGTTAGCCAGTCTGATTTCACCGCCTTCCCATCATACTCCTCTGCTGAGGGAGCTGTGGCGTGGCGAGACGACCGCGTGCTCAAGCACATCCAAACGCCTCCATTCAAATCAACCCACATGTTGAGAAAATGTCCTGCTATATTCCTTAATATTGAGTACGAGGGTGCATGTACAGCTCGGGGTACCGCTGTCTGCAGGACGCCAGTGACGACGGGGAGCATCTCATCGCTCAGCGTCGCCCGTTTGACACGACTTCGCCTGATGCGGCTCGCCTCAGTCTCATGGCGTCGCTGCATGTGATCCTGTGGCGAGATACACATCATTATGATATACATTCTTTTCTTTTCCTCTTCCAACCGATCCATCCAAAGGGGGGCTGCTTGGCGTCTTCTGAGCCTCAGTGGTGCAGTGGTCCCCTTACAGCCTGTACGGCTTGTGCTGCAAAGCAAGCGGCGCACTAGTAGAGGCCAGTCAGGCCTCAGCATGTAGTGGACACATTGGTCATACTAAGATCATACACTGTAAGCACACGTTGTGCTTATTATCATGCAACACAAACTACAGATGAGTTGTTTGCTGTGTTTGAAAAATTAAAAAATGGGAAAAATAACGGCCACCTTGGTACAGAAGCTCATGATATTTTCATACATGCTGCACAGGACGTTTCTCACTGTCGCAGCAATGATTGACAGAACGAGAGCTTTTTATACCTTTTTTTATACGTTATACACCTTCAACAAGCAGATACACAACACACATTTGATAACAAATGGGCCTATTGGGAGCAACGTATAGAAGAGATATTTGAACACAAAAATACACTTAAAGATGCAACCTGCTGCTAAGTAATATATTGAAATGATCGCATTTGTCCAGTGACGTTTGTGTAATATATCCAAATGATAGACTGACAAAAGGTACTGAAGACACTGAAGAAGGTTTGGGGTTTGTTCTCCTGTTGCAGCAGCTCTTGCTAGTCCTGAGTTTATGACTGTAGTCCTGGGTTTATGACTGTAGTCCTGGGTTTATGACTGTAGTCTTGAGTTTATGACTGTAGTCCTGGGTTTATGACTGTAGTCCTGGGTTTATGACTGTAGTCTTGAGTTTATGACTGTAGTCCTAGGTTTATGACTGTAGTCTTGAGTTTATGACTGTAGTCTTGAGTTATGACTGTAGTCCTGGGTTTATGACTGTAGTCCTGGGTTTATGACTGTAGTCTTGAGATATGACTGCAGTCTTGGTTTTATGACTGTAGTCTTGAGTTTACGACTGTAGTCTTGGTTTTATGACTGTAGTCTTGAGCTTATGACTGCAGTCCTGAGTTTATGACTGTAGTCTTGAGTTTATGACTGTAGTCCTGGGTTTATGACTGTAGTCTTGAGTTTATGACTGCAGTCTTGGTTTTATGACTGTAGTCTTGAGTTTATGACTGCAGTCTTGGTTTTATGACTGTAGTCTTGAGTTTATGACTGTAGTCCTGGGTTTATGACTGTAGTCTTGCGGTGCTACACTCACTCATCATGAACTCCAGTTGTAGTCCTGGTTTGGCCAAAACGTTCTGCTTTTAAAATGCGTCATGTGACATGAACGTTGCTAATGAAGGCTGCAGGTGAACGGGCCTTTTGCATAATGTATCAAACTCTGGTATCAATCATCAATATCAATGCGTTCCCTGTCATGACATCATTCCGGACTCTTCTAACAGACATTGGACTGCTCACCATGTGGCATAAATGTGAAGTCAGCAGCCTTTTCTCTTCCCAACAGTTCTGAGACGCTGCATCCTGGTTCCATGACGTGTTTGATGCAAATGTAACTCCATAGTGTTTTCATTTACCTCACATACTCATATTGTCTTTTGCTCTGAAATTCAAAAATGAAGTGTTACCTTCTTCGTTTCCCTTATTGAGACAAGGATGGACACAATATTGTTCTTGGTTATGTGAAATATAGAGTTGAATGTGTGATGTTTCAAAGCATTTGTGTCCTGTGAAGGTTTGGGGTTTTACAAGAAAGGTTAGCAAGCTGCTTTTTTGAAATCATAGCACTTTTTGTAAATTGAATACCTTTTATTTTCCTTCATTGCCTTTTGTTAAAATACCTTTACTACAAATGTATAGATGATATATTTAGCTCTTTTAGAGAACAATAACATGTAAATACAATATAGTGTTTTATTTTTACAGGTACAATGACAGTGTTTTACTTATCAAAGTGTCCCTTTTGCTTTACTTGCACAAGTGTTCTGTGTGTCTCATTGAGGGCTCTTCTAACAAACGCCTGGTTCTGCAGAAGGTTTGAACAGCCCAGCGATGGTTTGGGTGAGAGCACAAGCGTGATGGAGCTTGGATGGATGCTTCCATCACTTGTAAAGAGACAAACCAGATATACTGTACGTTCGCTCAGTCCCAGGGTTGTTTTCTTCTTCTGTCATACTTTGACCTCAGTGGGACATTCTGAGAATATACGACTTGTTTTCTTAGTGGTTTCTGCCTGAAGGCTGTTCATCAGCTAACTGCATTATTGTGGATGACAGTTGAGAGGTAAAAACTAATCTAGCCGTCCTGGGAAACGGCGTGGTGACCAGGAGACGCTCTTCAGTGAGAGGCACAGACCTTCAGCAATCCATGTCGACCTTCTTCATAAGCTCCAGTGGTACCAGTGAACTTTATTGAATGTGTATGTAAGAAACACTGCAATACTGCGATTTATATATTTTGGTATTGGATCAAGCTGCTAACATACTGAAGGTGCAACAGACCTCCTTTCTACTTCTTAAACGTATCGTTTGTACAGACTAAATATCCAGCTCGTGCTTGTACCATATAGCTGCATACATGTCATTGTTCTGTGATATCACATGGAGCCCCGACGGAGGTCCTTCTGCAGAGACGACGTGATGTTCATTCCAGCCGCGTTGCTTTGGGGATCGATGGCGTCCTGTGACAGTGATGGACTCATTGCTAATTCTCTATATGTTACTTCAATTTTACAAACTACTGTAGTGTTTTATGAATATAGGCAAAGTTATTCACATGAACATATATGTGTGTATATATATATATATAGTAAATATATATGTATATGTTTACAGGTTGTAAAATAAAAGTGAACGCTGCAGCATATTTATCTGTTGTTTTCTAAACATCGACGTCATCCAAAGAGGCAGATTATTTATTGTCTGGCAGAATAACCATGATTTGATTTACACACCTTGCTGCTATGAGAGAAAAGAACTGCAGTCGTCAACTCCAGTGTTTTTACCCAATGAAAGTTGAATAAACGTAAAATATGGATCCAACTGCAGGTCTGTTTGGTCATTTATAAATGTGTCACTTGTGTGTAAACTGCTGCTTCTGTCCGTGTGTCGCATGTTTCACTGAGGCCGGACGTGGAGCAGCGCCGTTGGGGGAGGAGTCCTCGTGATGATGATGAACATGTCATGAATAAACCAGTAAAACGCTTTCTAGTAAGTTACTCTGAAACAACACACGACGTAATGTGAGCAGAGCAAGCTGCAGGCTTAGATGTGGCACTAATGTCTGCATATATGACACATGTATGTTGCTGTGGGTGTGGTTAGACTGAAGCAGCTTAAAAACACTAAGAAACTAATTCTCCATCACCACCCGTTTCTATCTGTTCTCTGCTGTGAGATGTTCCAACATGGAAGGTCTGAAGTCTTTAACGCGTCTTCCACTAAACCAGGAGCATTGATCCATAACTGGCCACCGAGGGTCATCAGGTGATCTCACAGGACGCTCTCAGAGCGCATGGTCCACACAGGAGGTCAGTCTGGTCCAGGAGACGCGTCCGCTGGCCGGGTCTCCCTCAGTAAGCACACACGCGGCAGAGACATACATGTGATTGTGCATCGCGAGGCCCGGATGGAAAGAGAGGGTTTGCTGCAAAAATAATCTAGTTGAATCGGCGCATAATCGTTTAACCCGTCTTTCTCCCTCGCACTCGGCGTCTCTGTGAGCGGCGGCTGCGGCGCGCGTCACCGCTGAAAAGCCCCGCGGCCTCGGGGCCGCTGCTCAGTCCGCTGCAGACCTCCAGCCGCAGCGATGCCTTCCCCGATCCCCGCGAGCCGCCTGCTGCCCAGAGACATCTACCCCTGCGTGGACATCGGGACCTGCAGCAGTCCGCTGGCCAAATACTCCCTGGGAACCACGCTGACGGTCCCGGTCCAGCGGCTCCACGGGAAGGTGGCCAGCCGGCTGTGGTCCACCGTGATCCACTGGAAGGAGCTGCGCTCCCTGCAGCCCGCGGGCTCCGGGGGGTTCGGCTCCGTCTACCGGGCGGAGTACCGCGGGGACACCGTGGCGCTCAAGAGGGTCAAGAAGTGCACGAAGAACCAGCTGGCGTCCCGGCAGAGCTTCTGGGCCGAGCTGAACGCCGCGCACCTGCGCCACCGCAACATCGTGCGCGTCATCGCGGCGACCACCTGCGTCCCGGCGGATTTTGGAGACGAAAGCAGCATCGGAACCGTGCTGATGGAGTTCGTCGGGGAGCGGAACCTGCAGCAGGTGATTTACGGCTGCGCGGAGCCGCTGGGGGAGCAGCGCTGGCTCCGCTACGCCGCGGACGTTGCGCGCGGCTTTGCGGTTCCTCCACTCGCACGGCGTCGTGCATCTGGACATCAAGCCGGCCAACGTCTTGGTGTCCAGCGAAGACGTTTGCAAAATCGCGGACTTCGGCTGTTCGCTGACTCTCGATCGCGGCTGTGAAGTGCGCGCCATCGGCGCCCACCTGAGCCACGTGGGCGGCACGTACACGCACCGCGCGCCGGAGCTGCTCAGGGGCGAGGCGCTGTCCCCGAAAGCCGACGTCTTCTCCTTCGGCGTCACCGCGTGGCAGCTGGTCACCAGGGAGCAGCCGTACGCGGGCGACCGCCAGCACGTCATGTACGCGGTGGTGGCGCACGGCCTGCGCCCGTCGCTCCGGGACCACCCGGGGTTCGGGTCGCCGCGCGGCCGGCTGTGCGCGGCCCTGCTGAGCCGCTGCTGGAGCGCGGAGGGCCGCTGCAGGCCGACGGCCGAGGAGGTGCTGCTCCGCCTGGAGGAGCTGCTGCTCCGCCCGGAGGAGGAGGAGGAGGAGGAGGAGGTGGTGGTGCTCCGCCCGGAGGAGGAGGTGGTGGTGCTCCGCCCGGAGGAGGAGGTGTGATCGGTCGCCTCACCAAGCGACCTGCTGCAGGGACGCGAACCGCCGCTGAACTTGAACCTGTCGGGTTGTGTTTTATTTGCCATGATGAGATTGTATTGTGATATTTAAGTGTGGTGCGTTTCATTAAAGGTTATTTTCTACTCTGCGTTGTGCTGTGAGGCCTCATTAATGTGAGACGTTGAGCAGAGGGAGCGCGTGCGTCCTTCTGCGCATCCAAACGGATGCTAAAGATCTCCAGGTATTTGTACGTGTTTCTTGTTCCTTTTCTTTGTTCCTGTCAACCTAAAAGTTTCTATGTTCATCTGAAGTCTACACGCTGAATAAAAGTGACAGATTTCACACGCAGAGTGCGTCGTTTCCACGGTTTGCTATTTCATAATTCTAAATGTTTCCCTTTTGGTGTTGAAACTGCGCCCCCTGCTGGCCACTGGCTTCTGTGTGGACACGTCAGTGTCTCCTGAAGGCTTCCTATTGGCTGACTCATCGCTCAAAGGATTCATATCTACGCGCGCAACACGGTACCATAAGCTCCTTAAGACACGAGCGAACTTCGATTATTGATTTAACAACCTGGTTAACTGACAAAACATAAAATCTTTTCTGTTGGCGTTTCATTACCTCTGTGTGGTAAGTTTATACAGATCAAAGACAAGGGAATTTACTGGGAGCTAAATAAATATATATATATATATATATATATAAATACTCAATACTCATACTTGCTGTGTTTAAAACTACACAAAACTATCACTTAAATTGTACTTTTATTCAAACTCAACCTGCCAAAGACGATGATGGTCCACTTCTACACGGCCATCATGGAGTCCATCCTCTGCTCCTCCATCAGCGTCTGGTACGCTGCAGCCACAGCCAAGGACAAGGGCAGGCTGCAGCGTGTCCTCCGCTCTGCAGAGAGGCTGATCGGCTGCAATCTGCCGTCCCTGCAGGACTTGTTCGCTTCCAGGTCTCTGAAGCAGCTAAAAAGATGGTAGCCGACCCCTCTCACCCCGGACATAAACCTGTTTGTGCCCCTTCCATCTGGCAGGAGGCTGAGGTCCATCAGGACTACGACCTCCCGCCACACCAACAGTTTCTTCCCGTCGGCAGTCGGGCTCATCAACAGAGCCGGTCCCCCACTGACTGACTATAACATTCCACCGGTCACTCCCCCTCATACTGCACATGCCACTTTAACTGTTCACTGGTGCACTTTAAAAAAAATATTTTTAACTAATTTTATTCTCTTATTTTATAATAACCCATCGCATTAGCATTTCAATTTATTACTTGTGCACTGTGGTCTTGTCTGTTGTTACACTGTCTGTCACACACCAACCGCCAAGTCAAAGTCCTTATTATATTATATTACATATTTTGGCAATAAATGATTCCTGATTAATGGTTCTTATCTACAGCAAGTTGTAAAGTGGCTTATTTGATGAAATTGCACTCTGTTGTTTCTTGTTCTTCTGAGTTTGTATCCTTATTGTTATTGTCTCTTTGGATAAAATGACATGTGATGTAAACAAAATGAAGATCAGACATCGTAGATTCAAGCGTCCCACTATTCACAACACAGTGGCTCAGAACATGTCTTGCCCTTGTCTACAGAAGGCCTGGAGGAGGGGATACATATGAGGGACTGCAGGTACAGCTTCTATGCTGCTGTATATCCCCGTTCTGTGTTGTGAGCAGTAAAAATAAAAACACAGAAATACTGCACAATTACAGGTGTAATACAGACGTTTAGTATTGCAATCCAGGGCTTTAGGGAACTCAAGAGACCGACTGAGAAGAAAAATGACCATCAATCTGCGCAGGAGAAGCTTTTAAGTTGAAAAGTCTGTGGAAAGCGTCCCTGCCTGTAAACACATCTTTCAAAGGCTTCTTGCAATACGTCAGTAGTCTGCATTCTTCTGGCCATCGCTACGACATCATCTGGGTCATTTCCTTGACTTGACAAATTCATGGCCACAGTAGTTCCACTAATAGTAACAGCTAATAAGGACACAATTCACCAATTCTGTTCACAGCATCAACGTAAGACAATAGGACCATTGGTTCAGTAACGATACAGTATATGTGAGTGTCTGATCACATGACGGTGACTCTCTCAGGGGAAACGTGGGCAGCCAAGCCCCCTGGCTCCAGGCGCCGGCAGCGGTACCGGCTGCTATCCAGGCCCCGGCGGATCTGGTGGAGCTTGCGGGCCACACAGGGGAGCAGCATCAGCACCTTCCCCAGTATGACACACACCGGCAGGGCTAGGGCCACCACAAAGCTGGGGGGCAGGTAGAAACGGTAGGCCTCCTCCTCAAAGGCCCGCTTCCAGCCGAACAGCAGCCCGTGGAAGGTAGCGATCAGCAGAGCCACGTAGCCTAGTGTGGACTGCAGCAGACACAGGAGGACGCATGATGCTACATGTGGATGCACTGACAAGTCACAGAGCAGTATCTGTATAGCAGTACCTGTATAAAGCTGAACTCCCTCCAGTTCAGCGTGCTGTGGACAGAGGGGATGGAGGTGATGGCCAGGAGCGACAGCAGCCCGAGACTCATGATCCCAAAGGAAACGTACATTTCCACCCGCCACACCTCCTCCTCATTCCACGCGTTCTCAACATTAGCATGGACCTGCAACACAAAGCATGCTCCAGAAGGAATTCATCCCAATCACCTTGATGCACGGCCAGATTAACAGCGAGCTACTTTCCCTTTACGGTGCATACAGGAATGGGATCTTACAGGTAATATTAGTGTCTAAGTCATATTAAGATCTTGCCTCTTCACATGGCTCATCTCCCACTGATGTGCAGTTCTAAGATCTGAAATGAAAGTAAAACCTCTGCATACACTACAATGTGAGGTCAGTGAGAGTGGACATTGTGAGAGGACACAGTTTGTCGCTGGACTGGACGAGCGGTGCTGACTGTCCAAAGTTGAACACGGTGCTGGCCACCACATTAAAAAACAGAGATAGTCAACGTGTCTATAATGACACCTCCTAGAGAGTAGAGAGAGTCATCAGCTGCAACTATTTCCTGACAAATATTCCTGCCGTTTGCTACCAGGTACCGTCGGTGAGCACAACTGACCTGTTGGTAGGCCGTGATGAGCAGCAGGTACCTCTCCGATCTCCTCATGGGCAGACAGAGGCTGTAGACGACATGGACAGCCGCCAGGAAGAAGCTGAGGAGACCCATCTGTTTGCGGCTCTGCAGCCAGCCCTCCAGCCAGTGTGGGAAATGCCTGTACTTGGTTCCGTAGTAGAGCTGGTGGGCGGCTGCCAGCTGGCCTGCCAGGTACACCAGGGCCAAGAGAGTGATGGCTACAGTGGGCAGTGTCCGGTTGACCATCTCTAAGGGGATCTTGTAAAAGTCACTCTGCTTGTATTTCACATATGGGTGGATAATATCTCGTACAAAAGAGTAGGCGAAAAAGAAGATGGAGAGCGCTACGGCAGCAAGGACGGGGCCCTTCCAGCCAGGAAATAACTGTATGGGAATGTTCTCAATATCCCGCGAGGAAGACAAGGTGCCCATATCCACCGGCAGGAAGTTGAGCTGGCGGGCTAATTCCATAATCTGCTGCCGAGCCTCCAGCGAGTCACTGCAGATAAACACCTACAGAGAGCAGCAGATCAGTTAGACACCCAGGAAGGATGGTGAGGAGGAGAGTGGAGTGGAGGAGGGGGCTCGCTTGTATCTCGGTACCTGCACCTCCCCAGTGTACCCCGTTGCCTGTGACCAGGACGTGTCCTTTAACTCTTAGATAACGCGATGCAGAATAATTTGTTCATGCATGTGTTACTTGATTACTGTCTTATCTTAAGGAGGTTATAATTCCATATTGTCCTACTGGAGAGCTGCGCTCCATAGATGCTGGTTACTTGTTGTTCCTAGAGTCTTAAAAAGTAGGATGGGAGCCACAGCCATATTATTATTTACACATTTTATAGTAAGCGAAAGAGCTTTTCTACATTCTACAATGTTGCACGTTCCCTGCAATAAAACGGATGGTTGTCAATTCATGATACTCTCTCGTCTCGTAATTTAAATACTTAAAATACAAAACCAATGTTGTTAAGAATGATTCATTTCATAAATAATGCTACACAATAAATAGAATGCTTAAATCGACACCGTGATCGGTATTATCGGATCGGCAGATACTGATTTCAGTGATCGGTGATCGGCACCAAAAAACCTGATCGGAGCATCTCTGCTGTGAAGTAACTTCAGCATCTCGTTCAACGGACACATGACCACAGCAGGAACCTGGTGGTTAAACCATCTTTGGTTCTAAAGGCTTATATAACCACCATGGGCCAGAAAACAGCCATAAACAGCCCAGAATACAGTAGAGTGAATATTGGATCCTGTATTCCGGCTGTTCATACTCTGACTGAGTGTGTTTGTTTGTTTGTTTGTTTGTTTGTTCCGATTCAGGATTAATATGATACGATGTTACAGTTGCCTGTTTGTTCGGTGTTTGTTGACACTGCAAGATTCAACTGCCATCTAAATATTAGATAACAATACCACGCATGAGCAAACTGTTCTTTCATTGGTCAAATTTTGTTGCAGTTATAAATAGGCTCTTTCTTTTTTAAATAGGGGGGGGGGGTGCAAGAAGGAGATCAGGATAAAAAGTTTGGGAACCGCTGCCTTATTCGGTATTACTTAGATGACGGAGAGTCTGCTTTCTGTCTCTAGCGAGACACTTTGTGTTTTGGGTCAACTGATGGTCAAGATGTCTGTGCGTCAAACTCCAGTTAATCTTGTGCTGCCCGAGGTGGAGAAGGTGATGGTGTAAAACCCAAGGCTGATTGCCAACACGGTCCACGGGAGGATCGGGGAGGGCAACAACATCAAACTACAGAGGCCATCTTTGAACAGACATCCCTTGATACACAACCAGCTGACTGTCCATACGGATGTCTCCTGATTCTAGCAGAGCTGTCTCTGGTAGGTCAATTGAAAAGCCATTGAAATACCCAGAAGAGACTTTTACAGTAGGACATGAGTGACTGTACCTGTGTGCTGGCGTCTTTGGGGCAGCTCTGCTGCATTGCCCAGGCTGAGATGACGTTGAATCCTTTGACCGCTATGGAGTCTGGCAGCAGTGAAGCCAGATACTCAGCGTTAGACTCTGGGTACTGGTTCGGCCTCCTGTTGTTACTCACATCCACCAGGATCTTGCCTGATGAACAACAAGAAAAACTGGTTTCTATAGTCAAAGACATTCCTATACAACGACGTTTTTTTACACAATGGGCTGGCATGAGTGAACCATGTGTAGTACTAAACAGTAAAAGCCGTCTCCTTCTACTGCTGTTGAAGTAGAAGCAGGAGGAGTAAGATTGGTGGCCTCTTTGAGGCTTAAACAGTAAGAGGTACATGGATCCTTCAAGGTGTAACTATCTCTATACTGCAGCTTGACAAACCATTAAGGAGCAAGTTAAGGACCATTGGTTTTCTGTTTTGTGCATGGATGTATCATTGAAGCAATAAACCTGTGACAGTGGACAATGGTCACAATGGTCCTATATTCTTCATCTCATTCTCACAAATCCTTTTCCACAAAGACAAATTAAGAAACACACCTATTTGCTACAGTCCCCCAGAGGGAAGGAGGACAAACAGATCGTGGCTGAGCTGTGGTGTCCCTGATGATCACGCCTGCCCTCCGCAGGCAGCGCTTGAGGTGGATGGATTCAATATCAGGGGGATGCAGTAGTTTGCGGTCAGAGCATTTCCCATAAAGTGTGATGTAGTTGGTTAAGATATGAAATCCAGTATCCAGCTACAGAGGGAGGTGTCGATGCCATGCTCAGCTAGTTTGGCTGATGGTGTTGAATGCTGAACTGAAATCGATGAGCAGCATTCTCATGTAGGTGTTTTTATTGTTGCGGTGGGAGAGTACAGGCACAGTGAAGCGCTGTGGAGATGACTTCTTCTGCGAATTGGAGGGGGTCCAGTCTAGGGGGAAGGCAGGTTTTGAGATGAGCTAGGACCAGTGACCAGTGTCCCCGCGTCGAGTCAAATTCTTCTAATAAAGAACAACAACAACCAGAACCATTTTGTTGATAAAAAGCATGCCGTGTTGACTAGAATGACGGCACTGGAGGCCGGAGGACATGAGAGCAGGGAGCAATGAAATGCATCCAAGCATCATGACACTTGTTCTTGACCATTACACACGGAACAGGAAGGTTAGGGGCTCCGAAGTGGGACGCCAGCCCCTCAGCTCAGAATCCAATGGTGGTGGAGGTATAAAATCGTGTTTTTGTTGAATTGTCAATTTGTTTGTGCCGCCTGGAGCTCAAATAAATGTTAACGTGAACGGAAGAAAATCCAATCTCTGTGTTCAGCAGGTGTTTGTAGCTGATTGAGAATTTTGTTGTATCTCACAATGAGTCAGATAGATTTAAGTTAAGCAGTCCGTAGTTAAATCAACCAGACAAAACTATTTGAACCCACGTTGGTTCATTACCAAAAAAGACAATACACTGTCAAGTCATGCAGCCAATGGGTACGCTTCGCTGGGAGAAAGTCCGCCCATGCAGACCGTTGCACTTTGCTCCATATTTCTTTGAGCAAAGAATATAATGTACACCTGAATGCGTTTTGCACCATATTCAGTGCAGTAACTTTAGCTCAAATGTGGGCATGTGAGTCATTTGTCTTTTGTGGAAAAGGATACTTTTGAATCTCCACTCGAGTGGTGTGAAAGTAAAGAGACAGGTAAGGTTATTTACCCTTGAGAAGATGCTTGAGGTCCCACAGGACTGAGTAGTGCTCGCGTCGGATTGCCAGGAACACGATCCTGGCCTTCCCCACCGCGTCTTCTTGGTGTGTCACATCCACCACGTGAGGAAATGACTGGGCCGCCAGTTTGGGATGGCGGCTGCCCACCACCACATGGAAGCCGCGGCGCAGCAGACGGATGGTCAGGCACTTGGAGAAGTCCCCTGAGCCTAAGATGGCCACTGTAGACTGGGAGGGTAGACAGGCAGCCTCTGGGTTTCCAACAGGACTCTTTGTACCGTTGGGTAGGAAACAGGCCTGTGTGTGTTGGAGATGGTGCGAAGACGAGGCTGTGAGGAACAAAGGGCTCCTGCTGTCGCCCATCATAGAGATGGAGTCCATCGTAGACTTCTTCTGGGGGTCTACTTTGTAGGAGTTCACCTGGTCTACGGGAGCAAAGAGGAGGGAAAAAAAGACAAATGTTTTTTTTGCAGGTAAAACAACTGAAATCAGCCGATTATGATGTACACATACTAGAATTGTGTCCCCGTCATCTAAATTGAAACTTTAACTCTGGTATTGATTAATATCGATTTAATAGTCCTAAAATGTTGATGGAGCTATTTATTTAAGTTAGTATTTAGAAGTAGTATTTTTTAATTTAGTTAATATCATGGCTCTGCTGACCAGTCCTTTTCTGGTGTTTCTGTGTTCCTTGTGTCTCCCAGGGTACATCCTCCAGATGCTGCATCCTTTCAAAGGCTGGATCCTTCAGAGGCTGCATCCCTGCAGAGACTGCATCATTTCAAAGGCTGGATCCTTCAGAGGCTGCATCCCTCCAGAGACTGCATCATTTCAAAGGCTGGATCCTTCAGAGGCCGGATCCTTCAGAGGCTGCATCCCTACAGATGCTGCATCCTTTAAAAGGCTGGATCCTCCAGAGGCAGCATCCTTTCAAAGGCTAGATCCTTCAGATGCTGCATCCTTTAAAAGGCTGGATCCTTCAGAGGCTGCATCCTTTCAAAGGCTAGATCCTTCAGAGGCTGCATCCTCGTGGAAGGAGGTCTCTGAAGACATCAGGACCACAGAGAGCCTTCACATCTTCAGACTAAAGACACACCTCTTCAGACTCTACCTCCACTAACACACTAACTAACTGTAGCACTTACATTGGACTTATAATGGTTCTTATCTACAGCAAGTTGTAAAGCGGCTTATTTGATGAAATTGCTCTTTCTTGTTTCTTGTTCTTCTGGGTTTGTGTCCTTATGGTTGAAATGCAGCTATTGTAACTCGCTTTGGATAAAAGCGTCAGATAAATGACACGTGATGTGATGTATATTAGAGGGAATGTACATGTTCGATTTGAGCAATTGTTAGAATAATCTTGCACATTATTCAAGTTGATTATTCAAAAGAAGGACTGCTCAGAAGATCTCTGACCAACCAGTGCTACGACTTCTTCACAATGAACGAGGCTGCAGGAGTCATCGGGTTCTTGATGGAAGTCATTTAGCGGAGGGTGGTCCTGGATGTGAACTACTTCCTAACAATTCCTCTCTCCATGTTAATAACCATAGTAGCCCCATGTCTGCTTCATACACGCTGGATACATGAGGATCCATCATCTGCTGAAGCAGCGCGGTACGAGCCGATCACAGGACCCCCGTCCCCCGGGACAAGCTGCGTCCCCCGGTGACCTTCCGTATGCAGACGCAATGTGTCGTGAAGGGCACGCAGCCCCCCCGTGGCGCCGCAGCACGGCCAACACACACCACCGCACAGCTGATGGATGATGACAACGCGCACACGTACCGATCAGCGCAGGGTGCGACGCACGTCACCCACCTGGCAGCCTCACGAGGACGCTCCTGTTAGTGGCACACGCAGACCGGCGGCCGGCGGCTCTTCATCCTGCTGCGCGCGCTCCCGTCTGTGCGCGTGCTGCGTTCACGACCCGCAGAGAAAATCGGTGCAAGTAGCATCCGTCTTAAAGTGACCTGTGCAAGACTCGGTCGGCCATATGTTGCCGGTTGTTTATCTAATCTTCATACATCATCATCATACATGACAGGGTTTTTGTCAAACAGCAGAAAGGTGACTAGAAAACAGCATTACTGCACAGAAATGTGTTGAATTCACATTCACAGTGTTGTTACAAAGGATTCCAAATAGATGTTGTGCATGAAAAGGGAAGATCATAAATTACTCCGTGATAACCAGCTGGTCATGCACAGTATTCCAAAAGGCTTTATACCGTGGGGACAAGTCCACACACAGACAGGACATGTCTCCTTTACGTGAGTGATTGTCTGTCCTATTCTAATAATTGTCCCGTCCATCACACTGTGCAGCAGCTTTTCGTGACAAATGAGCATTTAGGAAACGGGGACCAGCACCAGCATCTTGGTGCTTCTGGTCGGGGACAGGGGACGAAGCGTCCCCCAACACATCCAAATCCTTCATCCCCAGAGCCACACAACTGTACAACAACACAAGGTACCTCACCATGTTTACTGGCTACGTTACCACAAACCCCCACCCCTCCCTCTCTCCACCCCCAGCCTGAACTCTTAATGTGTGTTTTAAATTTAATTTTGTCTTTGATAATCCTTTTTAATAGTTTAACTATGTGCCTTTTATGTTTGTCAGGAGCTACCTGGATCTTGAATTTCAATAAAGTACTTCTATTCTATTCTATTCTATTCTATACTATACTATTCTATTCTATTCTATACTATTCTATTCTATACGTAAGGACACATTGACTCAGAGTCATTTCTAAAAGAAACTGGTCTGTTTAACGATCAGAAGAAGTAATACAGCAGCTCGGGTCGCATTGCGGAGGTTGTGCCTGGAAGCCTGAACTCCGGGTAGCAGACGCGCGGCTGTGGTCCTACCGGGCCGCCGTAGCTGTGATGGCGCCGCTGCTGGGAGCCGCGCTGGCTCTTCTACTCGTCTGTTTGTTGTTCACTAGCCGACTGTATCGTGTCGTGAGGGCTGCTTCGAGCTGCGGCCCGGGAGCCGGGGGCCCGGGAGCCGGGGGCCCGGGAGCCGGGGGCCCGGGAGCCGAGGGGCCGGGAGCCGGGGGCCCGGGAGCCGGGGGCCCGGGAGCCGGGGGCCCGGGAGCCGGGGGCCGGTCGCTGTCCTCGTCGTCGCAGGGTCAGGTAGCGTTCACGTTGCTGACGTCACAGTAACCGTAGCGTTAAGTTAGCCAGACTGGTTTCACGTTAGCTTAGCTTCCGAGCTAACGAGCCGCAGACTGGCGCGCGTGCGCATCCCGAGCGCTCGTTTAAGCCGCCTGCGTGTTTATCAGTGACAATAAAGAACTGGACCTCCCGCAGGTCCGTGAATGCGTCTCAGTCCAGCTGGTTGCGATCGTAATTCTTATCTGTCGTTATTCTTTAATCGTGTCGCTCAATGGACACGCGATGAACTTTGAAGATTTGTTTGTGAATGTGTGACGAATCAGGCGACCGTAAACAGCCGCTGCTGATAAGTAAACACAAACACCCAGTGGTGACGTAACACTGGCCTCCCGACCAGTACACAAATAACACAATGACGTCCGTCATGTTTGTTTCTGCAAGTATTACAAGTGTCTCTGCCTGCCTGTAACAGTCAGTGTGTGTGTGTGTGTGCGTGTGCGTGTGCGTGCGTGTGCGTGCGTGCGTGTGTGCGTGTGTGTGTGTGCGCGTGTGCGTGCGTCCAGGTGGTCACACCACAGAGATCCTGCGCCTGGTGCACAGCCTGTCTGCAGCCTACACCCCTCGGCACTATGTGATTGCTGACAGCGACCGGATGAGCGAGGAGAAGATCTGCGCCTTGGAGAGGTCCAAGCGGGCCCCTGACGGCGAGCCCCAGGTGAGCCGCTGCTCCGCCTCAAACCACTGCTACCGACGGCATCCTGTCGGCAGCAGTGGGGTGAACGTGTGGTTGTAAACACTGGATCCCTTCTTTGATAAGCAACCAGCACAGACAGAATATGCATATAGATCGTTTGAGACGAGCTGTCCTCGCGTGAACGTCCACGTTACCAAGTCCATGTGGTCTCTGGTACCGCCAGCCAGGAGCTGACCTCAGGTCGGTGCTGCAGTGTGAATACTCACCAGCAGGTGGCTTCACACGTCAAACCGATTCCCACTGAATGTGCTGCTCACAGTTTCCCCGGATGAGCTGAATATCCACCTGTGTTGTACTAGAGTGAGCGCTGCGCGTGACCTTTGGTTTGAAGCTGGCAGTGCGGTGACGTGTCCTCTTTCTGCAGTTCACCATCTGTCGGATCCCACGGAGTCGGGAGGTGCATCAGTCCTGGAGCTCGTCCCTCATCAGCTCTCTGCGCGCGCTGCGCTACTCTCTTCCTCTGGTCTTCAGACTCCGACCCGACGTGGTGAGTGGACCAGAGGCCCTTCAGCACCAATGTCCGTATCATAGCAGACATGTTGCTATTGGCTGCACGGCAGGAAATGCAGGATTCATTGTTTCTGGAGCTTCAGAGTCTTTTAGTGATCTGTTTGTAGGAGCCATTAGTTCTGTCTGTGTACAACATGTGTGTAGGGGCCTATCTCAGGTTGACCACGGGTGGCGGTGTGTAGTAGTCGGGGGGGGGGGGGGGTTCACATAGGGGGCACAGGTAATGACGCATGGGTGATGGGGAGATGAAACCGTTTTACCGCAAACCAGACTCACAAAACCAGACCAGGAAGCGAAGTTATGCAAAGTTCTGTATTATAATTTGAACAGTAATTAAACGGGAACCTCAACCGAAGAGACAAAAGACCTGGAAACAGGTTCCTCTCCCGCACCCAGCCGAGTGGCTCGATGAAATACGTGAGGCAGCGGTTCACTCTGCAGCAGCACAAGCCCATCCCACTCCACCGTGCACCACATGCAGGATGAACCCATATGAACTCTGTGGGGCTAAACATTAGGGATGGCCCCCACAAGAACAATCCACCACCAGGAATAACCACCACCAGGAATAACCACCATCAGGAATAACCACCATCAGGAATAACCACCATCAGGAATAACCACCATCAGGAATAACCACCATCAGATGTAACCACCACCAGATATAACCACCACCAGATATAACCACCACCAGATATAACCACCACCAGGAATAACCACCACCAGATATAACCACCATCAGATATAACCACCACCAGATATAACCACCACCAGATATAACCACCATCAGGAATAACCACCATCAGGAATAACCACCATCAGATGTAACCACCACCAGATATAACCACCACCAGATATAACCACCACCAGGAATAACCACCACCAGATATAACCACCATCAGATATAACCACCACCAGATATAACCACCACCAGATATAACCACCACCAGATATAACCACCACCAGATATAACCACCACCAGATATAACCACCACCAGATATAACCACCACCAGATATAACCACCACCAGATATAACCACCACCAGGAATAACCACCACCAGATATAACCACCATCAGATATAACCACCATCAGGAATAATCACCATCAGGAATAACCACCATCAGGAATAACCACCACCAGATGTAACCACCATCAGGAATAACCACCACCAGATGTAACCACCATCAGGAATAACCACCATCAGGAATAACCACCACCAGATGTAACCACCATCAGGAATAACCACCACCAGGAATAACCACCATCAGATACATACATATACAGTAATCGGTGAGAAGGGACACCACCATGATTTCAGGAAAGAAGCAGAGTAATGTGAGTTTATGATCACTGAAACAATGATGTGATTAATAATAATAATAATAATAGGGATAGCAGCAGCAGCAGCAGCAGCAGGACCAGGTTACAGATAAAACCACAATCTATGGAAACCTGTAAGGCGAGAAAGCACAAAACCTCCAGGAAAGAAGCTGAGTTGGTGATGTGCATTAATGAGCTGTGCTTTTTATAACTATAGGACTTTAGCAACTCACATCAGATCTGTCAAGTGAGTTCTCTATACCCAGACAGAAGGACAGGCCTCTCTGCAGCGCACCCAGAGGCCGCTGTAGGTGTGAAATTCATATTGTGTTATGCTCATTGTAAAGAAATGCACTTACTACCTTTCTCTATAGAAACTGAGCTGATAAAGTGGGACGTGAAACCCTTTTTTCTGTGTAAATGCTGACGTAGCAAACATTTACCTTCCGTTCTTCCACAACGATCTCTAATGTCTCTAAACGCTGAGCGCGAAGTGTTCAGACAAAGCTCAGTTTCATTTGTAGCATGCTGTAAATCTATGCAGTGTATTTATTCTTAGGACTCAGATCTCTTACCGGTCATGGACGTTTGCCCCCCAGTGTTGAGTCCTACATTCGGTCGAGCTCTGATTTCTCTCTGAGGTGAAATCTAGTTGCAGGGGATTGATATTTGAGTGTGGTGCTTTGATTAGCAGCCAGTGCTAATGGCATGCTAATGGTTCATCGTACCTGCTCTACAGACGAGTAAGTCATTTAATACCTGTACTAATAATAAACTATGAGAACTATGAGAAGCGTGTGCATAGCACATTGGTGCTGCTCTGTTGTATGATGACTTGAGCGGCGCCGCCCGGTTTCCTGTAGACCCGAACGCCCTCCGCTTCCTCATCCAGTCCCTCCCCCGCTGGGCCGAATACACACCTCAACATCAGAGAAGGAATTGCTTAGGGCGACTACCCAGCCACCCCTGCTGGACTAAAGTCCACTAAAGGCCCAGGCAGAAGCTAAGCTAACTGTGCTGCGCTGCTGGCGTTCTTATGTCGGGTCTCCAGACACTCAAACCTTTTTTCGCTTGTGCTGCTAACGTGCCTCGGCTACATTTTGATGTACATTCCTGCGTTGCATAACGACAAGAACTGGTCCGTGATCACTTGAAACATGTTGCTGGTAACTGCTCATCCGTGTGCTCCCGTGCAGATGAAAGATAATGATGGAAGCGACCTACACGTGACCTTCTGTTATCTTCTAGCAGTCCGTCTAATGCCGCTTCCACAGAATGTAGATGCATTCACGGGAGGGTCAACGGAAAGTGGGAGTTTCCCATAAAGAGATGGGAGGGGATGTGTAAAGTGCGCCTAATTATGCATTCCGCGGTATTCCACAAACCGGCCACGAAAGCGTGTTTCTTCACATATATTCTTCACTGCATTTCGTTGCCTCAGTACTTGTACTCTGTGCAATGGCAATAAAGTTGAATCTAATCCAATAATATGCCTGCTGGTGACACCAGACGCCACGTAGGACAAGGGGACGAGCTGAAAGGATTTTTGCCACATGGGTCACACTTTTCCAGTTGAGTGAACAGGAAATCATTAGTTACAGATGAAGCAGCGATATTCCAGTTAGTGGAATCACAGATGACGTCGCGTCTCCCACTCAGTGGTCACATTCCATTCCAGCTGTTGTTAAACATCTCGGTACACAACGCGTTGCTACAGCGCACTGGTCAATACACACATTCCCCACCGCTGATGCCAAAATAACACTAAAACTTAGTTTTTGCTGTTTTGACTGGCTGATAATCAACATGCTGGTAGAAAGAGAAGGATGTCCATTCACTTTAAATGTGTTTAAATGCTCACCATGTGCGGTATAGTGGGCGGAGAAAGGCGCTGATCACCCGATGAGCTGCAGGTTTCATGAAGTACGACATAGACTGAAGTGTCACAGCGGGCGCTTTCCTTATGCTACGTTTGCAAATGTGCGTACGTGAGGTTCCCAGACACAAATGAGTAAATTGTTAGTTACTGTGTATGGACTCTGCATCAGGGATTTCCAGGTTTGAGAAAATGGAACTATAGAACCTTTGCTGCTTCAGACACTGATCTTAAGGGGCCGACTAGAGAGCTGCTCATAGATGCTGGTTACTTGTTGTCATAAAGCAGGACGGGGGCCACAGCCTTCAGGTACCAAGCTCCTCTTTTGTGGAACCAGCTGCCACTTTCAGTCCGGGGGGCAGACACAGTCAGCGCATTCAAGATAAAGCTTAAGACTTTCCTGCCTGTCACCTGCCGCGGCATCATCATCATTATTAGTCACGTTACTATCACTGTCCTCATGAACAAAATACGGACATTGCTTCCTTCCTGAAATTGTTCTGCTGTCCTGTGGATGGTGGTTGATGGTGGTCCTGCCGTACACCTGACTGACTACTCTCAATATTTGAGTTATTTCTCTCGTACGCATGGAGGAGTTTGCGATCCCTTGCCCTAAAGGTTTCTTTCTTTTCCTCCCAGAGGATGCCGTATGAGTACACAAAATAAAATGAATGGATTGAAATTGAATTCAGAGAGATCCACAGGACACATGCGTGTAGTAAAGTGTGAGCATTGTAGACATTTTCCACCTTGACGCCCACTGTGCTTTAGAGAGGACAGATGGGAGGGTGGCTCACACAGCGAGCACCGGGGCCACTGGGCCAACGTAAATGCTGAATGGACCTTTGTGCTCTTTAGAGCACGCTTCACGTCATCATTCTGCTCATCTCCATCGAATCTCATGCTCACACACACACAAAGGGTTCAGTAGCTTGTCCAGGGACACTTTGACATGTGAAGGACACACACCTCCAGGTCTGACACTCGGGGATAGAAGAGATAATGATGTTTAAAGCGTAAGCCCCCTGCTCATCCCCCTGTGTTGTGTGTGTTGTTTCAGGTGCTGTGTAACGGCCCGGGGACCTGCGTCCCCCTCTGCGTGGCAGGCCTGCTGCTTGGAATTCTTGGAATGAAGAAAGTGTTGATAGTTTATGTTGAAAGTATTTGCCGGGTAGAAACGCTGTCCCTTACGGGGAAGATCCTGTACCCAGTATCGGACTATTTCTTTGTGCAGTGGTCCTCTCTGAGAGACAAATATCCCAAATCCATTTTCCTTGGAAGACTAGTATGAAACAAATGTATGAAACATGTTTGTCTTAGTGATCAGGAATAAATGCTCTTGAGTTACAGAATAATAAAATGATGAGAAAGCCAAATATTTTCATTTAATCTTTATGCATAAACAACATAAATACCTTTCCCAGCCAATTCATGTCAAGTATGTGTTAAACAGAATCAGGAATCAGGAAACATTTATTGCCAAAATATGTCAAGCATACTTGTCTTGGCGGTTGGTGTGTGACAGTAGAGATGTCTGCGAAATGTCTGGGGCGCAGAAACTTGGGCTGTTGCTATCACCGGTCAAAGGGGCACGAAAATCAAATTATTTGTCTGTGCTTGTCTTTTTAATACTGCAGGCAAAAGCTCCACCCGCGTCAGTTACGTATGTCTGTGTGCGTTGGGGCCCACTAGTTGTGCACTGTAGCGCGGCCTTAAAGAGCAGGTGGGATCAGTGTGGTGGGGTCTACCGTGAGGGCTTAGGATAGCAGTGCCTTATATACTGTGGGCAAGGTACATTCTTATTCTTAGTGGGTCAACCCATGCTTGTCAAAGGAGGAGAACATTACCGCCTCCACCTTTGCTTATAGCCTCGGAACCGCTGTTTTGGTCCTACAATGTTTCAACGACCATTTACTGCCCCATGTTACTCCCTGCTGTGTTTTCCATTTCCCACTTGTCTTTGGAATAAATCATGAGGTGTTTTGTATAATGGGTACCAGTGGCACCATGTTTCCACATAACAAATTTAAATTTCACTGAGGATTGTGAAAAATGAGCAATTCCTTTGTTTTATTATTGAGCGGGTTTATTAAGGGGTTGTTGTTTCATGTGTTGGTGTTTGTTAAAGGGTTATGGTTTCATGTGTTGGTGTTAAAGGGTTATGGTTTCATGTGTTGGTGTTAAAGGGTTATGGTTCCATGTGTTGGTGTTTGTTAAAGGGTTATGGTTTCATGTGTTGGTGTTTTGTCATTGGAAGAGACGATTTGTTTAACTGAAACAAATAACTCAAAACCATCTGTAGAGAAGAAACGTAAAATGAGATGATGTGTTCACACTTTAAACTCTGCATTGAACGGGTCTTCAGGTCGTGGTCAAGAACAGTGACCATGTGACCTGTGAAACAACTCCAAGGCAAGTCACAGAGAGATGCCCTCATGTGTTTCTCTTTACGGTTACCCATGTCAAAATGAAATGAATGAACAACAAACTACACAGTATTCGTGTAGCTGTGTTAGAATATATTGGGAAGGAGTCTCTGCAGAGACTTTGTCCCCGAAGGGTGAACACGGCCTTACGAGTGTTCATCAAAAAGCACAGCTAATGAAACTCCTCCCAGCCAGTCAATGTTGATTTGGACATTGGACAGCTTGAGCACAATGATGACTAAATAGTAAAACATTTTAAATGTAGAAATGAGTGTGATTTATCAAGGAAGCTGAACTCCAAGGGTGGTGTCCAAAATCCCTCCTCTTAAGGTGCACTATATTTACACGACTTTCTTCTGCTGGACTTTAAAGCAGCCCAACAAGGCCAGTGCAGAGTAATTCCACCTGCAGCACGTCTCACTGGGCATCGCTGCAGAGGAGGAGGTGAGTGGAATGTTCCCACGTTTAATATGTGCTGTCCCTCTTCATCCACCTCATCATCAGTCGGCCCTGCTGTTTCTCACTTGAAAATTCTCATTAACTTGAAAAACAACTTCAGTATTTACTTCATTTAGATTGATTGTTTTTGCAGGGAAAGTAATGTATCAAGTCCGTAGCTTTGTGGATGCCAATTACTTGGCTCCTTTCTTATGAACAGGGGTACCGGAGCTAATGCTAACCTCTCTGATGTAATGTTAGCTTCAACATCCAGCTCACATTAGACTGGCTATATACATGTATACAGGCTGTTAGGGTTCAGAGTTAGCTATCATAACTTACAATTACAATAAATGATGGAATGAAATAAAGTCATCGAGAGGTCGTGACACAGGCCGCAGAGGGCGACACACCTTCTCATGAGGAAAATAACCAAGAAGAGAACGTCAGCGTGAGGGACGTGCAGACGGTGCTGCAGAGTCAAACTTCAATATCAATCAGGCCGAGAGCTCAACTTGGTTTAAATGTCAGCGGTCAATATAGATCCAATATTTGAGTATTTGAGTGTTGAATTTGTTCTATCTGGTCCAAGTCACTGTGATGGACTGCGTCCCAAAGTGAAAGGAGATGGGCCCCACCCCATTTTATTTATAGCTTATAAACCTGAAGAAACACCACATGTTGGAAAAGGTTTAACAGCATTTGAACACATAGACAATACAAGCCAAAATATATTTTACCATCGTTAGCAGCCACGTTTTGAACCTCCTCATTGCACGAGTATTGTATTGCAGTTTAAGTCCAGTGAAGAAGTCCAGTGAAGGCAAACTGCAGCACAATAGTGTCCACATGACGCTGAGGACGGAGGTTTGTGAGTGAGACGTTCAAGGCTTAGTTCGCTCCGTTGCTTTCAGTTTATTGCTAAAGTTTAGTTTAGTGTCACCTATTCACTGGTTACTGGTTGGTAAACTGCTGGTTACGTGCCAGTTGAACGCTGTTCTCAGACTGCTGACCAGCAGTGCGCGCGTGCAGATGTGACTGGGCAGCAGCGTCGGCCCTTCTGATTGGCTGCTGAGGTCAGTCAATCATCGGAGGAGGTTTCGGCGTTCCGAGCCTCTCGTGCGCGGTCCCAGTCGGTCCTGCTGCTGCGCGTGAAGCCGGACCGCGTCGTTGCCCTGCGGGTCGAAGGAACCGGAGCTGCGCCGCTTCCGAAAAGTTCTCCTCCGGCGGCTCGGAGCTACTCGGAGCTACTTGGAGCTACTCGGAGCTACTTGGAGCTACTCGGAGCTACTCGGAGCTACTTGGAGCTACTCGGAGCTACTCGGAGCGGACGGGTTCGTCGAGCGCATCCACCGCAATGAGCCACTTCAACAAGGGCCCGTCCTACGGGCTGTCCGCCGAAGTGAGGAGCAAAGTAAGTGTCCACTAAGCCTGTGGTGTCCTCGTGTCCTCCACTCTCACGCGCACCGTAACAAAGGCGCCTCTCGCCCCCCCGGAATGAGAAGGGGGCGGTGTGCGGACTCGGCGGGGCTCCCGTCCTTCTCTTTGGGCAAGTTGTCCAAACTTTGGCCCGCTGGACGGGAACTTTTTTAGCTTCATGAATCCTGTGGACGTTCGGCCTTGCTGACGTCACCGCGCCCCCCAGGGCTGGAAACCGGTTTCCTTTGGTCCCTCTTTGTTCGCGCTTCGCATCACAGCTGAAGACCGAAGCTATTTGTGTGTTTGCGTCGCATGATACAACAGACTGTTGGCCCGGGGGGGCCTTAATGGGGGGGGGCCTCCATACGGGGCCTCCATACGGGGCCTTAATGGGGGGGCCTCCACAGGGGGCCTCCATACGGGGGCCTCCATACGGGGCCTTAAGGGGGGGGCCTCCATACGGGGCCTTAAGGGGGGGGCCTCCATACGGGGGCCTCCATACGGGGGCCTTAATGGGGGGGGCCTCCATACGGGGCCTCCATACGGGGGCCTTAATGGGGGGGGCCTCCATACGGGGCCTCCATACGGGGGCCTTAATGGGGGGGGCCTCCATACGGGGCCTTAATGGGGGGGCCTCCATGCGGGGGCCTCCATAAGTGAAGAGTGATTTAAAGTTGGTTTCAAATCTCTGAGTAAAGGCTAAATGGACTGAACTTTGCGGCCCTGATGACCGGCTGTGGTGTGATCAGATCCGTACGGACCATCGGCGGTTCAGGATGTTGCACTGTGACTATGCAGTGAGCTCAATGGGACAAAGGTAACTGATAGTTAGGTGGTCTCACTGCGGGGGGTGAGGGGGTTCTAATGCAAGCACAGATACTTAGTGAATCAGCTGTGCAGCCTTTGGGTGCATAACAGGCAGACGGCAGTACGCAGGTAGACCGCCGTCTGTGAGCCAGCACAGACGGCGGTCTACCCTGGCCCTGTAACGGTCTGCAGGTCATAACCAGCTGTGACGAAACAAACCGTTAACCTGCACGGTTTGACCTGTTGACGATGAAATGCAGTATGGGGACAAACGTTTGCTCCTGAACACGGACCCCCGCCAATCATCACTTCTGACCAGTGCTCCAAGTGGGTCGGTACACACTAGGGGGCCGTCTGGATTTAGGCTGGACCGTCCGGATTTTCAATGCCCGCCTGCCCGGCGCCTTTTGTTTTCACTTGAGGCACTGCCTGTGACCCAGGCACCGGGCGGCGGGCGCCATCTCTGTGGGACGGCCTTCTGCCTGTGACCCAGGCACCGGGCGGCGGGCGCCATCTCTGTGGGACGGCCTTAAGCCTGTGACCCGGGCGGCGGGCGCCATCTCTGTGGGACGGCCTTCTGCCTGTGACCCAGGCACCGGGCGGCGGGCGCCATCTCTGTGGGACGGCCTTCTGCCTGTGACCCAGGCACCGGGCGGCGGGCGCCATCTCTGTGGGACGGCCTTCTGCCTAGTTTATGCTTCTGTGTTTTCAGAGAGACGCAAGGAGAGAGTCCCTTGCGTGTCCTTGGGTGTCCTTGCGTTGACTCATTTTTTTACAATGCGCCGGCCTTCCAGAAGGTCCCTTAAAGGAGAACCTGTAGTTCATCTTAAAGGTCAAGATGTGCCCCCCACCTCGGGGGGGCGAAACGCTCACTCAGCCACACCCAGTAACTGAGCTACTGGTGGAAGGGTAGTAGTAGTAAAGTGAAAAGGAGCGAGAGAGAGGTGTCTGCCCCCCCTCTCCCCCTCGTCTTAGTACTCCTGCTGTGATTGAGTTGCCACCTGGTGGTGCTTGGGACTGTGCATTCTTATGGGTCAGTACCACTGACGTGTGCTCATTTGGGCTGTCGTTAAAACCACCAGATCGCTTCAATGCTTCCACAAAAACAATGAAAGCAGTTTCTGATGATGTCAGACTCTGATGTTGTGAGTAGTGTAAGTAAATGAAAAGGTGAGAAATACAAATCACCCTGATTTAACCCATTTCTGAATCTTCTGTAACTGAGGTTCTCCACGAGGAGAACAAAGCTGGTTCTTGTTTTGGTTGCACTTTTCTAGATTTATTGAAGCCAGACAACACATAGTTCTACTTCTACTAGAGAATTAGTCTCTCTCTGCCATCCATAATCTAGTGAACTATTAAGGACGGTCATATTCAGGCCAGCAGCGGTATGTAAATATACATTTACTAGGTAATAAATAGCGCATTCACTTCCTGTCATTGCTGCACAGAGGCGCTGAATCCAGTGCTGCTTGTATTAAAAATAACTCTGTTTTCAGATTGCTCAGAAATATGACCCACAAAGAGAGGAGGAGCTACGCTTCTGGATCGAGGAGGTCACTGGAATGTCTATTGGAGAGAACTTCCAAAAGGGCTTGAAGGATGGCGTCGTCCTCTGCGAGTATGTAGACACTTTGTGTGTCTGTGTCTGTCAGTCGACCCCTTTTCGTTCTCATAGATGTGTGTGTTTTTCCACTCAGACTGATCAACAAGCTGCAAACTGGTTCCGTGAGGAAAATCAACCTTTCCCAGTTAAACTGGCACAAGGTAAGACCTGAGAACTGGAAAGAGTGCAGGAGCTGCTGGATTAGACCTTTCACTAACTGTCCTTTGTCCGTGGCTCTCTGCAGCTGGAAAACCTTGGTAATTTTATCAAAGCTATCCTGGCCTACGGCCTGAAGCCCAATGACATCTTTGAGGCCAACGACCTGTTTGAAAACGGGAACATGACTCAAGTTCAGACCACGCTGCTCGCACTGGCCAGCATGGTGAGTACAGAGGGTCATTGAGTGGGGAGGTCGTCCCCCAATCAGAGGGTTGGCGCTTCGATTCCAGGCCCTGCTAACCCGCATGTTGACGTGTCCTTGGGCAAGACGCTTGCTCCTGTAGCTGCGACTACAGTGTGTGTCATGTAGTGTTAAAGCGCTGTACAAGTACAGTCCATTTACCATTCATAGTGTACTGAGGAACACATGTTCTAATGCTATAGGAAACACATGTAACGTCCGTTGACCAGCTTGTCCTCTCTGTCAGGCCAAGACCAAAGGTATGGACACAAAGATTGATATCGGGGTGAAATACGCAGACAAACAAGCTCGACATTTTGACCATGAGAAGATCAAGGCCGGGTCAGTGTGTCATTGGACTGCAGGTAACTATGTCTGGTGATGAAGTGGTTCTTCAAGCCACACTTGAACCTGATGGCACACTTTAGTTTGTAGCTTGTTCCACAGAAATAACCCCAGTCAGTGCCATCATTTAGAATGACATGGTCCTTTAAACAAGTTGGACTGATATGGGAATGGATTTGTTGAGGTCCTATCGCTGATTTTTTGCTTTCAGATGGGGACAAACAAGTGTGCAAGTCAGGCTGGAATGACTGCCTATGGAACCAGAAGACATCTGTATGATCCAAAGACTCAGACTGACAAACCCTACGACCAGACCACCATCAGCCTGCAGATGGGGACCAACAAAGGCGCCAGCCAGGTGACAGGCTACCGCCCCCATAATGCTGTGTCTATTCAAGAAATCCCCAAATTCAGTACATGGAAGTAAGTATATGTGTATGTGCTCATGTTTCTGCTGCATCCTGGTTCTTCCTGCAGGCGGGCATGTCAGCCCCCGGTACCCGCAGAGACATCTATGACCAGAAGGTGGCGCAGCAGCCACTGGACAACTCCACCATCTCCCTCCAAATGGGCACCAACAAGGTGGCGTCGCAGAGGGGCATGAGTGTGTACGGTCTGGGTCGACAGGTCTACGACCCCAAGTACTGCGCCCCCCCGACCGAGCCGGTCATCCACGCCAACGGCAGCCAGGGCACCGGCACTGGCACCAACGGCTCGGAGATCAGCGACAGTGACTATCAGGCTGAGTTCCAGGAGGACGAGTACCCTGGACCTTACCATGACGACTACAGCTCCCAATATAGCGATCAGCGCATTGACTATTAGTGGAGAGCTCCGGCTCCCAATCAGTATTATCCAGTGTCTTTTATTACCGACACCACAGAGCCGCACTAGTTCCTCCTGAAGCCTACCAGCGCTCTCCTTCTTTACCTACACTCTGAATAGAATAATGAAGTGCAGTGATGGAAATGTTTTAATTTAATCCCCACTATGTTTCCATGATGGAACACTTACGTAGTGCTAACTTTTTGGCGCGATGGTGCAGCATCAGGTGAAGCTGCTGCATTCCAGGGTTTTATTCCTGGACTGATGGTCCATATGATATTAATTCAGCAATAGGCTGCTGCTCTGTGTGGTTTCTGCATCCTCACACGGTTATCCTGCCACTTTGTGCTACTGGTGTTTTTACTACATTTAATTAGTAGACGTGTTTTATGATGAGCATGGTGGCTGCTCAGAAAGTGGTCGACCAAACCCAATCTGACTATATCGATGAACTTCCTTGTTCCATTATACCAGATACATTTTCATAACATTCCACTTGTATTCCTAAACTGTATTTATAAAACAGTCCACTGTCAAATGGTAAGAAAATGCTATGTTATGAATAAATTCAGATTTTCTTCAATTCTAGAAGGCTGTCAAAACACTACTGTTACGTGTGCGTGCAAAGTTATATTACATTGATAACATAGTTTGAGTAAGTCAGCGTGTGTCCACATATCTGTCCTTCATGGAAGAGTGGGAAGAGGAAAGCTGCTGTTGAAAGTAAACCAGAAGACGTCCTGTTCGGGGTTGTCCACAAGCCATGTGGGAGACACCGCAAACGTGGAAGACGGTGCTCTGCTCAGAGGAGACCAAATGGAACTTTTTGGCCTCAATGCGAAACGATGCGCGGAGGAAACCCGACACCACCCGTCACCCTGAGCACACCACCCCAACAGGGAAACAGGGTGGTGGTGGCATCGCACTGTGGGGAGGCTTCTCTTCAGCAGCTACAGGGAAACTAGTCACAATGAGGGAAAGATGGATGGAGACAAAAACAGGACCATCCTTGAAGAAAACCGGAAGCAGTCTGCATGAGCTTGAGACGGGCGGAGGTTCATCTTCCAGCAGGACAAGGACCCTAAACATACGGCCAGAGATACAATGGAAAGGTTTGGATCAAAGCCTGTTCATGATTTAAAATGGCCCAGTCAAAGCCCACATCTCAATCCAGTTGAGAATCTATGGCACGATTTGAAAGTTGCTGTTCACAGACTGTCTCCATCCATCCGATCTGACTGAGCTTCAGCTTTTTTGCCAAGAAGAATGGAGGAACATCTCCAGATGTGCAAAGCTGGTGGAGACAAATCCCAAAGACTTGCACTGTAACTGCAGCAAAAGGGGGTTCTATCAACCAGTGCACCTGTTGTTAATTCCATTAACACCAATGCTGCTGAAACAGATTACCAACCCCGTCTGCTACTTACCTGCCCAGATCATTATCAGAGAAGTGCAATTGAATTCATGCCATACCCTGATAAAGTTTTCTCCTTTCATCTTGAGAAGTGTATTTAGCAGAGGTCGAGGACGGTTTCTGTTGTCAGACTTCACATACAACCCCCAGCTTTTTTCATCAGTGTACTCAATAGTTTCTATAGTGTTCCGTTTGCTGAGTATGTTCGCTGTTGGATTAGATAATGACCATGAAGAGCCATGGAGATGTTCTTTGTGATGGCGTTGCAGCCTTCATCCTTCTGGTAAATTCAGTCATCCCTCATTGTGATGTGTGTATCAAACAAGCTGTGTCTGTTCAGTCAGGCACCCGCGAAAGAGTGAGCAGCCAATGGGCTTCATGAGAATGTAACGGCATTCACTCAAACCCCCCTCCCCAACCCCACCTCCACCACCCGTCCGCTGCTCAGGAATAATCACTGCTTTGTGCAAGTCTGCGGAATGTGGGGTGAAAACCCAAGGCTCAATTATAGAGAGAAAATCCCAAAAAGCATGGTAACTGGGGCAGCCGCAGAGGGCCCTTAAAAGAGTGGGCATGAAAAACGCACCCAGTCTTGCCGGCCTGGCTTGTTTCAAGCTGAAAACAAAGTGGTGGTGCCCTACTGCTCCACACATGGTGCCAGACACATGTCACACACGAATAATAGATGATCCAGCTACTGCCAGCTCAGCTGCTACTTCACTTTAGAATGCTAGCTTCTCATCAAAGTGATGAGGTTGATGTTTGTGTGTGATGTTTTTGAGATCAGAAGTTGAAGTTTATTTAGAATTTTCACCAGTGCTGTTTCTGTGCTATGATGCACTCTAAATAAATAAATAATTGTCATGCAGAGTCACACAACTCATTTGAGACTGATTTCTCAAGGAAGGGAAGGTTAGAGAGAGGTCTGTAGCCAACAGCTCTGGAGCAAGATATGGTTTCTGAAGAAGAGGTTTAATTACAGCTACCTTCAAGGACTGTGGTACAAAGACAGATTTATAATATCCAGTAAAGACGTGGCAACTGTGGGTAAAACCATTTTCAGTACCCTAGTCGGAATCAGATCCAGGAGACAGGTAGAAAGTTTAGACTTTCATCAGCTGATCAAGGTCGATGGGAGCGAAGCCAAGCAGGTACCCTGGGGTTGTTTTTATTTGTCCTTCATTAATGAGTAATCAGCTGCTCCTGTATTACGGAGGGCTTTCTCATATGCTTTAAGGCAGAGGTCTCAAACTCCAAGCGGCCACGGGGTACCGAGTTTGGCGTAGCCCCCCCCCCCCCTCCATCGACTGTACCGCTTGGCGTTCGGACGCGCCGCCACCCCTCGTCAACCGTAATGGTCTGGCCCGCACCTGCTTTGAGTTTGAGACCCCTGCTTTAAGGCTATCTCGCCAAACTAGCCTGGATTCTTTTAAAGTTTTCATGCTGTTTGCTTTGATTTGCAGGTTGGAGAGTTATACCAAAGAGCAAACTTCATTCTATTAACCTTTCTCCTTTCTAGAGGAGAAATAACGTCCCCCTCAAAGAGCCTGTAGCACTATTGACAAGATGATCCATCTGGGACGGATCCTGTGATATCTTGAGACACAATATTATATTGTGTCTCAAGATATATATACACAATATATTTATTTTCCATATACTCAAATTAGTCAACAGGGAGATTCACAGCATGAAACAAGTCCCAGTTTTTTCTATCAGACAAACATTACATTGTATCCAGTACAATGTAAAATGCTTTGTCTAGCTGGATCTGACCTCCTCCTCCTCCGTGGATTCCCCCTCATCCTCACTCTTCTCCTTCTTTCCATTTGGATTGACAGGTGAACTTACCTGCTGCATTTTATTTATTTATTTTTAAAAAGAGACATTTATTAAAAACAACATTATAACAACAACATTATTAATCGAGATTGAGAATGAAGTGTGTGATGAATCAATTCATTTTTATGTATCTATTGACAGCCCTGGTCTCTATTAATGAAACACCAGATGGATTATTCTACACATCGGCAGCCTGGATGTGAACACAGAAACAAGAGGAGCTCTGCATCCCAACGTAAATGATGAATGTAGATGCAAAACACCTTGTGAATGACTGGTGTTCCAAGTGTAAGATGGGGTGCGTCTGCGATGACACTGACCTCCTGTGGATTGTCTGCAGAATTATCATTTGACTTGGACATGATAAAAAGATGATCTCCTGCGGTCCTTTGTCAAAAAAACACATGGACCCATTTAAACCGGGCCTTAAGGTTCTGGAAAAACAAAACAAAGGTACAACAATGACAAGCTTTACTTTTTTAGATGCCCTTTGTATCTTAGATAACTTTAGAGTTACAGTTCTAGAAGTTGTTTCCCTTTTCTTTCAGTTATATTCAATTCAAGGTGGCTTTATTGACATGACATTGCAAGAAAACAATGTAAGACTATCAAAGTATAATGGTAATATGGATATTAAAACAGCCTTAAGTTTGTGATATAAAAGTATATTATTCATTATTATATACAACGTCTACCTTGCCTGCTTCTCCTGCTTCTTTTCAACATTTTTGTTTAGTTTGAATGTTCACATTTTAGGAACACGCTACATGTCTCTCAGCCCATAGTTGACATATACTATTTCTGTGTGGTTGCTTCCTGTTAGAGGTCATTGAGTCTCTACTCGGTAAAGAGTCTCAGAGGAGATGTATTCCGCCTATTCCTAATCTCTTTTAAAATCCAGGCAATCATTTGGCTTTTGGCTTCTTGTTCTCTCCAATGTTCTATTGGTTTACTTCCCAGTGGCTTCTCCTGTTTCACTCATTAACACTGGAGAGCAGTGTTGTTCTGGGTCCCAGTGGCTTTGGGAGGGGGCCGTCTTTCTGCTAACATACACATGTCTGTACTTGATGCACAAAAATGTTATCCCGTCCTCTTAAAAGCTACTGACACAGATGAGCTTTATCCATTGAATTACATGTAGAAAGTGTTGATTAAGAAATAGAGTAATTAGTACAGTGTGCTTGTACTATATACCTACTGATACCTCATTTTCCCATCAGATACGAATGCAGCATGAGAAGCACTTGTGCTTTTCATATCGGAGGGGAGGCACTTTCTCTGCCAGACATCGCTCTCCTTCTGTACATGACCATGAAAGGAGGTGGCAGCACAGTGAAGGAGGGTAGGAGGAGTCTTCTCAGACCAAGGAGCACAGTCCACAGCCTGGACCTGATGTGAGGCTTTCGGGACAGAGGATGTTGTATGTCAGTGTGTTTACATGATGGTATAATTGGAATCTTTGCTTAGTCGGACTATGCTATCTTTTGGGTGGAGGTGCTATTATCCCAATATACATGGCAGTGAATAAATCGAATCATTGGCTGAAAGCATGTCATATCCGATACGATAGGTGGCACTGTTTTCATTACAGCTAGTTGTGATACAGCCATTTCCGGTTGACCGCTTCACCACTACCAACAACAACCAACAAACAAACCAAATTGGCTGATTTGATAACGGAGAGAAGACGCCGTCGGGATCTCAAGCATGCGCAAAGACGCAAAGTCCAGTTCCTTATCCGATTCACCGTCACATGACGCAATAGTCGAACTATCACCTGGATCGGATGGAGTTATCCAGGGGTGTCAGTCGGATCGTAGTCGGACCGCACAGTCGGACAAAGGTGTTTACATGAAACGGATCATTCCATTTCAGTCCGACTAAGCCAGTTATTGGAATCCATGTAACCACGCTGACACAGCGTGGTTACATGGATTGTGTACAGACTGTAAAGCCCGCTGAGGCACATTTGTAATTTGCGATTTTGGGCTATAAAAATAAAATGAATTGAATTGAACCTGCAGGCTACGAACACAAGGTCGACTGCTGACCGAGCAGAGTAAAGTCCTGTAATTAAAAAAAATAATGTGGGATGAAGCAGGTCCGGTGTCTGGTGGTCTTGGTGTAAAGTGGTCTGTAGCTACCAGAAGGGAGGAGGTGGAACCGGTTGTCCAGGGTGTGCAGTGACCTTCCCTGACTCTGGAGGTGTACCGGTTGGAGGGAAGGCTGGAGCCAATGATTCTCTCTGTAGAGCTGAGGATCTCTTTTAGCTGTTCTTGTCCTGTTTAGTGGCCAATCCAAACCACACAGTGATGAAAGAACAGATAACAGATTGGATGATAAGTCAACCT